CTTTAAAAATATTATTATTATTATTTATTTTTTTTTTTCATTATTCAGCAGGAGACCTTACTCTCTGGTCCTTAGGGAATAAGTGGATGTGCCTGTGTAGTTTAATTCAGTTTAAAGCATATGTTTTATGTAGGGCCAGCATTAAAATGACGTGCATTTCTGATGTAACTTACTGAACAAATATACGTCCACCCGATGTCAATCCAGCACTCGGGCTGCGCTGCTCATATTCACAGATTCACACAGTCAGCTAAGGCAGGTGCCACCTACACACAGAAATGATGTACAAGGACAAGCATGGACCACTGAGAGGAACTTAGTATAATTTGTATTTATAAAGACATGTGAGTAATGCTAGTAACCCAGTTCTTATAGAGTCAGTAACCATAATGTTATTAGTACAGTAGTTAATTATACTGTTTTAGTGTTCATTTAGCCCAGAGAAGACCTGGGGGTACTGCACTAAAGCATGACAGACTACATTAATGTTTGGTAAAGATAATGATGACCTGGGGACTACAGCTTCTTGGGCCTGTATTAACAGACTACCTAAAGAGTAGTGCTAATCTAAAGTCAGTTTTTTGTAAAGTTGACCATCATAAATACAGAGGAATCTGAGATTAGTCCTCTGATTCAGGACTGATTTGTTAATACCAGTCTATGCATATGTGGGGATGTATGGGGGTCTACATGCATGGTTGTTTTTGTGTTCATTCCCTATCTGCAGATACGTACACCAGTTCTGTAGGCACCAAGTTTCCAGTGAAATGGTCAGCCCCTGAGGTTTTGAACTACACCAAGTTTGACATGTGGGCTTTTGGTTTGTTCCATTTCTCTCATTCCATTTTTACATTTTGGTTTAATCTTTCCTGATATCTAAATGACGTGTTCTTGATTTTTGACATTAAAACCTAATTTATACATCCACATAAACACACTGATGTTCACATGAACACATAAACGTTGATCTACAAGACAAATTCTATCTCTTTGGTAGGGCATTGCCCAATTTTCTTTCAATACCATCACCTGTAGTATCAATATCAATACAATTCGATACTGATAACTGAATGATACTTTTTTTTGGACACCAACGATTGTAGAGATGACAAACATAGCAGGCAAGATCGGTGTGGTTCAGTACTACACACAAAAATCCACCCCCAAAACACAAATCCCCCACATAATCATTCCTTCCTCATCCCTAAACATGTCATTCACTCTTTTTTGGCACCAAACCACATAACTGACTCTTCCATGGAAACAACAATGGGCCTCATTCACCAATATCTTAAATTTGTTCTTGAGAATGAAAAAGTCTACATCAGATTCAAGATGTGTTCTTAAACTGCGGAATCATTTGCAAACTGCGGAATCATTTCTTCTAAAGAACAATTGGTGAATGAGTGTCTCCTATTGGTGGGACTGGCTTTAAGGACTATAGGTAGTGTATTTCTTTAGAGGAAAAGCGGGAAAAAAATGTGTTTTTAAAAAAGTTGAAACCAAATTAAATTATGGCTTCAGTAAGATTGTATACTAACAGCAGTTAAAGTTCTATGGCTAAAAAATCAAATTCCCTATGGCAATTATGAAAGGGCTTTTTACCTCTGGACCCAGATTATTCACTCTATAAAAATAAAATTGTAACTTTTTTCTATTTACTATTTTCTACTATTTTTATTTTCACCCACAAGTCATGCAACGCAGTGATTTTTACAGCATGCTCTTTACAAAATGCGCATTGTTCCTCTAGAGTTTACTTTATGATGTATAACACAGTGCTGCATTCAGAAGAATTTTCTGATGCAGATGTACAGATGTGTAGATGCTGGCTGATTTTGCTTGCCATCTGTTTTGGTAGGTTTTTTAAATGTCACTGTGGCAGAATCGGTTTATTGGTGTTTAGTATGAGGTGGCTGTATTGGTCAGTCACGCTGCCTCGTTTAATCCAAATGTATAGATGAGTCTGATTTTAGGCTGTTACTGCATAGCACACCAGAATTTTGTGAAATGAACATTGAGAAAATGAAATGTTGTGAGATTTGCATTCACAGTTATAAGTTGATACCATTAAAGTATTGAAGCCCTACTCATTAGTTGTCTTTAGCTGGTTCTTCTTTTTCTAAAGCCTATCCAGTAACTTGATCTGCTTAAAATCACCTGCTATCGATTGCTGGCATACTTTCTTTATAGTAAGTTCTCAAGGCAAAGGCATGAGGCATTTCGGCCTTCTAATTCTGAGTTTAAATCTGTGCCTTATTCTTTTTTCAGTGGAGAATTGGGTGAATGAATTCATGATGATTCATTATGAGACAAGAATAATCTGTACTGATTCATATAGAATCCAGTCACTGTAGGCTAAAAAAACATTGTTGGTGCTGATTGTGATTATGATGAAAATGATCATTGCAATCTTGAGGGTGATTCATATGGCAAGTAACTCAATATTAGTAATGCTCATGTTGTTGGTTATGACTATGACAAGGAGGAGGAGGATAATGATGATTTTTTCATGTAGGTGTGCTGATGTGGGAGGTGTACAGCCTGGGCAAGCAGCCCTATGAGCACTACGATAACGCCTGTGTAGCAGAGAGAGGGTTGCAGGGCCATTAACTCTACAGACCACAGCTGGCCACAGATCAGATGTACCAAGTTATGAAAGCATGCTGGCACGAGGTACCAATATCAGATTTTTTTTCTGTTTTTTTCTCTCACAAACATAAACATTAAAACCGAGAAATTCTTAAGCAGGGTATTTGTACATAATGTGCAAAATGTATGTTTCATGAACCAGTTTTTTACCCAGATGTCAAATTAAACTCAAGTGAATAGCTTAAAGAATTGTTTCAAAAATTTTACTGAGATTCTATCAGCTCTGTACAAGACAAAACTCACTGTCACGTTCATAAAAGCACTTTTGAGAAATACGGTGTGAGTTTTTAGAGAATTCTTGAATGTTGAGCAACTTCTGCTGTTTTGATTCATTTGACGTCTGTATTTTAATGCTGGGCACTATGACAGTATTTTTTGTTATTCTGATAAATTATGTCACAACATGTCACAATATGCTTTTAAGAGCATATTGTGGATAACATCAGTTCTTAAAAACACTCCCCAACTGCATGTTCAATTTCAAAGATAGCATTATTAAAAATTATTCGGAACTGAATTGAATCATTGGTTTTAATAATTGTATTTAGTGCTGCACAGTATATGAAATGTTTAATACAAAACATTGAAGTCAAAGTTTTTGATAGTAATTTTTCAAACGTGGCAAAACTTTGTCTTTTCCAAAATAAGAGCTTTTTTTACAAAGTAAGAGCCTGGAGACTGAACTAACAGGCAAATGTACTGGGTCTGGAAATCTCTATTAATCAGCTGCAGGAAGTTTATGTCTGTTTACTCTTTAATATCACCATTATGTTTTTTAAGTTGATCATTGTAAAAGTATCAAAGGTATGTTTTAATTTACTTTATCAGTTCACTCTCACCTACTGCCTTCTACCATGTTCTGTAGCTACAGCCAGGAAAAATGTAAACAATTGATCAGTCATATGACATTTCATATTTATATAGTCGTGTTTCACCTGCCAAAAACGTTAATGAACATAAAGTAAGTGAACAAGCTTTTATGCAAATAATGTCTGATCATTTACCTGGTCTGACTAAAATTATGTCTGACCATTTTTCAGATATTTTTCCATTTCCATCGAGTCTCATGTGTTCCATATGTACATTTTTTGAAAGGAAACCAAGCTACTGTTTGTTGTTTCCTCTTTCTTTTCTTTTTCCCATTTCCTCCTAACAATTCATTTTTCCGTGATAATTTTCTGACCTTTACTTTTTTATCTGTGCTTCTTCTCTGAATAATATTTAAATGGAGTCTGTGAAATTATGCAATAGGGCATTTATCAAGCACATGTGCTCAATGTGTGCTTTGTTCTCTGTTTCCAGCTTCCAGAAGAGAGACCCAATTTTCATATACTTTTCAGTGATCTTAGTGCATTTGAAGAGTAACATCAATCTGCAGTCATCACACTACATACACTTCCATTTATGTATTTACAAATTACTAGAAGGAACCAGTCAAGAAACCAATCACTTGCAAGTAAGTAACACTACCCCCTAATGCCTGTTCCTGGAACCATTACGACAGTGAAGAGCTGAGATTGTAAGCATCTTGTCTACATTACTATATTACTATTACTACTATATTACTATATTAATGGGAGAACCTGTATGATGTCTCTGTCTTTGCTACAATACAGTAAAACTATTCATGTCCATGCCGTGCACAATAAAACCTGAATCAGAAAAAAAGAAAGATCTAAATGCAGGTTTGGCTAATTTCTAAAGAGTTTCACCTGAGAGTGTGAGCAGTTTCACACGAGCTTGTGGTTTTTGTGACATTTCCTTTGCCTTTCTATGTGTGGGCTGTTTTCACCCCACTCTTCACCAGAAACTTAACTAGGTTATGTACTCTTTCTTTTTATGGTGTTCCCCTTTTACCCACTAGTGCCTCAGGTTGTTTTCTCTGAAACTGTGCAGCTCATGCTTGTACTGCAAAACACGTGCAGTGGTGTTTCCCTCAGGTGTGCTTGTGAATAACCTCAACATAGTGGCCCTGTTGCAGGTGTAGTAGTAATTACAGGGAAGAGTAAAAAGACAAATTACTTGTAAAAACAATTCAGAATATCATATATATTAGACCAGAGATGTGTTATATCCTCATTTTTATATCCCACTCCATTCTTTGTTTTTCGTATATACTTTCACCCAGAGCGTACCTTCCTGTTTTTTAAAAACAGAGGTACATTTTTTCTGTTGCTGGTGGCATAGTTGCTTGTTCCTCTCCTGCAGCTGTGCACTGCTTCCTCATTTCTCGAGAAAGCCTTACAATCCAATGATGTCAACTCTGAACATTTAGTGGTGCCCTGCCCACTTTCTTGCTGTATATATGTGCGTGAGGTCTTGTGCTCCTGCCAGAGTCGTTAGCATCTGCCAAGACAGCAACATGGCACAGGTACAGAACAGCTTCATGCATATATTATGTATATTTTATTCTATTTACTGGAACTTTTCTACTGAGATGTAGAGAACATTTTGAAAGTTTGGAATCATGATCATAAGAATATAAATATTATAATATTTTTTTACATTTATCTGCAACAAAGTTGGTTTTACATTATTTAAAACAGTGAGCCCAAAAATATCTATTAATATTCATTAAATAGTAATGAATATTATGTATCATTATATGTTGTGTATAATCATAAATACTCAACCTTTCTGTCTGTCTGTCTTCTTGTCTGATATTTGGTTGATTGAGACTAATGAAATATTTAAGAAAAAGATGCCTTGAATCACTGCAGTTTGAGATTTCTTTTTGTGCTGTTTTCTAGGCCAGTCCTCTTTGTGGAGGGGTTTCCCTGCTTCACACTATGGTTGATGGGAAACACCACTATGAAGTAAAGAATGTTTTGACCCATATACAAAGTACTTTTGCCAGGTAAGATTGACTGCACATTTCACCAGCCATCCACTTACATTCAAAGTGGCTGCATCCATCAGTGAAACACATGTTGTATGTGCTCAAATTACATCTTTACATTGCAACTATGTAACATTTTATACACTTAAACTGTTTAGACATCAATCTTGATACTGGCATTCATTCAGTGCCAGTTGACTTTGTAACAAAGGTAGTTCTTTGTGTATAGTGAGTGCGCTGTAAACAACCCTGCACAATTCAACACAAATTTTAATCCCTCTAAATTAACCCTAAAATATTACATAGTAATTACTTGGAAAACAGTGCAAACTGGTTGAGTTATTCTTAAGTTTCTGAAATGTGGAATAGAATCTTGGACATGCTGGCAGGCCCAAGCCATTTAATTAAGTAATTAACGAATAAACAAAACCATTTAGAGCCAATTGCTGCTTGGTGGTTTATTTATTTTTGTTCAATGTATTAAGGCTGAACAATTACTTGTTTATACATATTGAAATCACAGTGTGAAAGTGAGTGATTTTCACATGAGCTGCAGTTTTAGTTATATGCTACATTATACATCTTTCTCTTAAAAGTTTTAAGAGCAAGCGAAATGGCAGTTAGGCACACTACATACAGTAGTCAAGATATTTTACTACGTCATCTCCTGCAAAAAACTGCCATGGCATAAGTTTTAGTTTAACGGGAAAAAAGGTCTGACATGTTTCTGGTTTCCCTGTGTTCCCCCTACCTGGTGTAGAAGACAACAAGTCCTCATCAGCATCCAACGTGACACAGGTTTGTTCTGTAAACTCATTATGTCACTAAAGAGGCAGTTACTCATCCAAAACAAAAACCTACTGATTTCCCTCAGCTGTTTCTGAATAACAAAATCTGTTCCTCTGCGTGCTGCTATTTTGTGCAACACCAGTGCTGCCTCCTAAAAAGTTAAGTTCCTTTCTTCCTCCTATTTATCTGTTCATGAACTTTTACAGATACTAGACTATCAAAATTAGTTGGAATGCACATCTCCAGTTACATTTTTTCATCATTGTTTAAAAATCATTGCGTTGAATCGCAGCTACTGCCAGTGTATAACAGAGTTTGAGAGGGGAAAAAAACAGAATTGGAGAAACAGTAAGGTTATATTTACATTGTCTTTGTGTGTCAGTTTGTGAGTGTGAGTGTGTGTGTGAGATGTTGCTGGAGGCAGTGAAAGTCACAGGTTGTTTTGTTAGATGGTCGAAAGCCAGAAGGCTTGCATGGTAAAGAAGAGTTTGTCAGGCAGAGGTAGCATGTGGCAGTGCACTGACCTTTACTCCAACACACACACACACACACACACACACACACAGTGTATATCATGGATATGCTACAGAATGTGTAGGCTCATAGGCAAGGCTGGAGAAAATGTCAGCTGTGTATGGACGCCACCCCACTGTGCTTATTCAATAAAGCGGTGCGGAACAGCTCGCTCAGCAGGAGGCTACGTAAATACTGCAGGACTAAATACCACAGGACTGACACACGGGAGCTTTTATAGTTCAACACGCACTTAAAGGACTATTCCATTATATTTATGCCTTACATTTCAACCACTCTATTGTGTTGTGTGAAGCCAGGGAGTGTTTGGATGAACTGTGTAGTTTACAGGGCATTTGTTGTAGGAGTTTCATAGACTAGTCCAGGGTTTCTAATTTTTTTTAAAGTGAAAACTACAGCCCACAGCAATTTTGACTGACCAGTTTGGGAGCTTGAGGGGAACGCCATGAGACACAAGATTAGCCTACGCTTTTTCCATTGTTGAGGAATGTTTTGTCTCCAAATGGTGAAGTGATTGGACGGCTTCATATCCTCATTTGCTAGCTTCTCTCCACATATCACACACAATGGTTCTGCTGCATTAATCTATATTTTACTTGGATCACATTTTGATTCTTGTTATTGGTTTTGTTTTCATTGTTTTTTCCTGGCTCAAGTAAAATATTAATGTTGATAATTTGTTTATTCAAATTCGCTTATGCTAGCTGTCAGCCAGTAGCAACCTACACGCATACACAAGGCTATACAGAGATATGATGTAGGCCAAAAGTTTATAAAAATGTAAATGGCAAGAATTAATCCTTAAATAAAAAACAACTACCACTATTATTTACATTAATAATAATAAAATAGTGCAGTTCAACAATGTGTGTGCAACAAAAACAAACTCAGTTGAAATAAAGTGGCATAGCTTCAAACTAAATTCTTCAATAATTTAGGAACAGGAAAGGTTTTTTTTTAAATGGGACAAACTGAAGAGCTTAAAAACATGATACTGGGCTTTATCATTTGTTTCATTGTTGCCAATTTACTTATTTCACTATGGCAATGAGAACCAATCAACTACTTTTTAAAATTAGACTTGTGCAGTAAAAATGAACAGCCATACAACCCCTAGGTCAGCAGTCGGCAACCCAAATGTTAAGAAGAGCCATTTTGTCCTTTCAACAAAAATCAAACCACCTTGAGAGCCACAACATTTTATGTCCATTTTACCTTCTTGGCTGTAAATATTTCTCAGTATGAGCTAATGTGCTAGTATACGCTAAAAATATAATTTAAACGAAAATGCAGACTTACTTTGTTTTTAGCTTTAGCTCAGCTATAGCCACTTTTCTTGCATCTCCAGCAGGAAACTTTTCCTCCAAAGTGAAATAACTTCTTTTAAAATGTCTCTCAATGCTCGACTTTTTACGAGGCTGAATTCAGTTTCTCATTTGCCAGCTTCTTGATCGAATTTCCCCTTTCCACCTTAAATGGTGCCTGAGGTACCAGAATGTAACTGCTGCACCATTTAACGTGGAACAAGAAACTGGCGAATGAGAAACTGACTTCAGCTTTGCGACTTTTCAGTGTTTGACAGTTTCTCGTTGCAGATTAAATGTAATAGGAAAGCAGCTGGAGTGCTAATGAATGCAAATAAGTCCATTCGTCTCCAAAATATTCATGTTCGTCTTAAATCTCAGTTTGTCTTTTTCATTAGCTACTAGCTAAGCAATACTGTTGTCTGTTTTGCTGTGACCAGCAATGTGTGCATCAATCTGCAGGGTTTACCTAAAAATCTAGTTAGGCACACTACATACAGTAGTCAAGATATTTTCCCCAAATCATTCAGTCCTAGTTTGTGTCACAAACTACATTTTTGAATAAGCTAACACATTAATAGGAATACAAGTGACACATTAGTCATTCTTTATAATAACTCAATCACTAATAGTCTTTTTACGGAATTCTGCTCTGAATGTGTGATCACTAGGAAAAAATCACAGTGCCTGCGGTAAAGGAAGCCTTGGCCATCTTTTATACAGAGATAGAGACGTGACAGCACACAGAAAGTGCTGATTCTGCACTCTAACACATTTCACTCTGGCCAGCGTGTACGTACATGTGCTGGAACACCCCTGGCAGATTTAAAGAGCCCGTGTCCCACTTTTTCTTGTATTTAATTTTTTTCCTTAGAGATCCGCTTTTGAGGTTTGTGTGGTTTTACTTACCAAAAACCAGTAATAATTCATTTTTCCATGATAATTTTCTGACCTTTCATGGAATTAAGAAAGTTTTCATTACTGCGCGTTTAGGACTGATATATGTAAATTAGCCCTGTTCTTTGTTGTGTCTCATTCAAAAAGCATTATAGGCTGAAGTGATCCTTATACCTTTAGCATAAATGGGCGAATCTAAACTGATGTCGACTAAAAAGGCAGATTTATGCAAATGTGCTGGTTTTCGGTAAAAACAGTTCATCCAAATTGGCTTAGTTTCCATATATGAACTGTATGGACTGAGGCATGAACAGTGTATGGACTCAGAACTGAATGGTTGAAACATTGTTTTAGATTAGATTAGGTTTGACTTTATTGTAATTATTCAGAGTACAGGTAAAGAGCCAATGAAATGCAGTTAAGCATCTAACCAAAAGTGCAAAATACAGTATTATTTACATATAAAGTTCAGAAGGAAGGTAGAGTGCTAAAAATATATAAATATGCAAGTATAAGTATAAATAAATGATAAAGGTACATGGTCTGGGGCAGTCGTGGGCTGGAGGTTAGGGAACCAGCCCTGTGACCGGAAGGTTGTCAGTTCGATCCCCTTGGCTAACAGTCAACAACTGAAGTGCCCTTCAGCAAGGCACCTAACCCCCAACTGCTCCCCGGGTGCCGTGGATAGGGCTGCCCACTGCTCCGGGCCAGCGTGCTCACTGCCTCCTAGTGTGTGGGTTCACTAGTGTACATGTATGTGGGTGTTTCACTGCACGGATGGGTTAAATGCAGAGGTCTAATTCCACTGTGTGCAAACTCAGTTGGCTGATGGTTCTGAATTCAATTCAATCTCTTTGGTGGCGTAACTGGGTACCCCTGATGCATTAGGCAGTTTGCACTTGCTAAGTTAGTTTACCTCAGCTCTGTTGATGTAGGGTGTTGAGCACCAGGTTGTTATCATCACACCATGCTGCCAGCTGCTGCACCTCATCCCTGTAGGGCGTCTCATCGTCACCTCTGATCAGACCTATCACCATGGTGTCGTCTCTGTCGACTTGATTATTGAGTTTGAGCCATAAACAAGAACACAGTCATGGGTGAACAGGGAGTACAGAAGAGGGCTCAGCACATAGCCTTGTGGCACGCCAGTGTTCAGGGTGATGGGGGAGGGGAAAAGTTTGTCTAACTTAACAGACTGAGGTCTGTCAGTCAAGAAGTCCAGTAGGACAGTGTGGAGCACCGTAGAAATGGCATCCTCCGTTGACCTGTGTAGCAGGCAGACAGGACTTCAAATGAGAAAAACTAGTGTTTCACAACTTTCAAGCTGTGAAACTTTATCAACTCAAGTTTAAAAAAAAAAGAGAAAATTTGGTTGTCCATGTTATGGGACTCTGATAGAGTTACTATGTTCATAAAAATGAACAAAGAAAACACGCTTATTTATTAACATTTTGAAAAACTTTGACACGCAGCGTACAGTGTCAACAGTGTACACTCTGTGGAACCAGTTTACTGTCTACGGGATTCATTGTAGCTCTGCATTTTTATTCTGCAGGAAGGGAGACAAAATCCTGATGATAAATGGTGTGAAAACTGAGGATTTGCCCCCAGAGAAGTTTACCAGCATGCTAAGTTCAGGATCTCCCATCCTGGTGAGTAGTTTTGGTCGCACACTGACAGATAAGCGAGGTTAGAGCTTTAATCTGGCTTGAAATTTTGGTTTGAACTTGAATACAGCTCAATAACTATCTGTCTGAGTCTAACACTTGGCATCAAGTTTTGTGTCAGAACTTTTCATAATTTTGCTGTTCTAATTAAGTGCAGGGCTAAAATATCAAGTTAGCCTTTACTTGTTTAATTCTAAAGCTGTATTTCTTCACATGGACATCTTACATATAATATATTGAACATAGAAAAAATTTAAATATTCATATAAATATTAACATCCCTTTGGCTGCACTAAACGGAACTTTTCCATCCTGAACTGATTCACTGTTTTATTTTCTATGCATTTTATTTTTCCAGTCATTATTTTGATATATTTTGACATAGTAAGGCATCATATGGAGATAGCACCGATTCTTGACATACTACTGCCAGAAGCAGAACTAAAAATATGCATTTTTAGTTCTACACCTGGCAGGAATAGGCATTCATGCCTATGTGATGTGGGCGTCATGGAGCTCCGTACTTAATTCTGTCTGTGTATGTGGTTTGAGACGCAGCCATAGAACGCACCCACACCTCAGCTTAAAATCAAACCTGATAAAGCGCTGATGTTGCTAATAATTGTAATGGTGGAAATGTTTTATACAGGTTTCAGTGAATTTATACAGTTTGGAGGCTGTGAAGATAACATTTCCTAAAGCTATCGCTTACTATATTAGAAATCTCTTAAATATATATTTCTGAAGCTTGTCTGTATAGTTGGTCATGGATGTACGGCACCTGTTGAAGCTCCACTATAGAACAGAGGCAAATTTGGAGGTGGGCTATGAGAATCTGAATGTGAAATCTGAACCTGACCCGAGCCTGACACATACTTGAGAAGAGTTTGAACAAGCATTTTAAGCTCTCTGTCATAGTTTATAGATTCTGTTTCATAGTTTATGTTTCAAACAGTCACTGGGCAACTGGCATGTTTCAGTGTCCACTGATGCTATTGAAAGTGATGCCAATTACAACTGTTTGGATCGGTTCTGTTTTTATTTTTCATGTGCAGTTTTGATATTTGACAAACCATTGACACACGTATACATATGCACACATGGAATCACACTCCAGTTCTGTGAACTGTTAAAAAAAGTACTGAAAAACAAAGTAAGTAAAACAAATAACCCGACTGAGTAAGTACAAAAGGGACTGAAGTGTGTACTTGCACAAGTAATCCTGTTTTATTACTCAACAGGATATTTAAAGGGAAGCCACTTTTGAGACTCTACAGATTGTGGTTATTGATATCTAAACGTACATAATTTTTTTTTTTCCCTCTGTTCACAGACTATGCACCAAGCAAGCATTGACACAGGCATAAACGAATGCTTGGAGTCTGATGCTATCCAACCTTACCGCAAGGAGAAGATCACCTTGCACTTCAGTATGGCTATGGTTAGAGAGGAGTGTCTGGAGGGAGAAGAAAATGGAATGGATCCAGCTGTGTGTGAATGGGAGAGCGACTACACTGAAGATGACCAGGAACTGCTCCTTGTGTCCATGAATGAAACCAGTGTAGCAGTTATGAGTGAAAGAGGCTGTGATCCTGAAAACCCCTGCAACACTTGCGGCTCTCATAGGTGCAACCTCAGTGAAGTTGTTGTGGCAGCTGAGACGTGCGAAGTTACATCAGGTAAGAGTTAAAAAAAACAGGGTCACCTAGTCGACTTCTTTTCCTTTAACACCATTACTGTGGTCAGTGAAAATGGTGCACATTTAGCATGTTTCAATTTTTTTTAGACAGAAGGGGGAAATGTATAACAGTTAAATTTCATTAACTTATTGGTTTCACTTAAATGATTTTGTCAGTATGTGCTCAAATCTCAAATCTGTCAGTACAAGCTCTTGGCCAAAATAATGTCTCTTCCTAGAGCTCGGAAATCTAACAATATTTATTGTTATTGTGATAAATCACAACAAAATATGTCACAATATGTTTTTCTGAGCATATCGACATTATTGTTAGCATGTCTAGAGCACTGAACGACTGCATGTTTCATCATAATGAGAGCATAATTAGTCATGTTTAATTGGATTTAGTGCAGTGAAGAATTTAATAAAAATCATAAAAATCATTGTCATTCATAGCATTTTTTTAAAATTGGCGTCGTTGGTTCTTTTAACAATCTGTTCCAACTTGTCAGAAAAAAATAGATATTGTGACATGTCATGTATCATGACGCTTTAGCTACTGAAGTGTGAGCCAATAAAAAAAAGGCCTGCCATGATAAAACTTTGAAAGAACTCTCGAAACACAGCGACACTATAACCATAATGGATCTCTTCATGCAGATGTCAAAATGTTGAATGTGAATAAGTAATTGTCCACTCAAGATGATCATCAGCAACCTGATGGTCACAGGTTTATCAGTTGGACAGTTAAGGCCCAAAAATCGACCAATTAAATACCTTAAACAAATCACGATATACTTTCAAAGAACGCATTGGACGGATATTGCACAGTATGTTTAATGCTGTTTTTTATAATGAAATTGCAATTTTTCAATCGCACTCTAGCAATTTTTTTGGCCTGTTTTATTAACTGTGTGTGGGGAAATTTAACCTTATAACGCTGAGTTTATAAACCATCTGTAGAGGAGTTAGACTAGTCAAAGACAACTAACTACACACCCACATGATGCATACATGACAACACAGCCACAATTAACTGCCAGTTTGGTTCAAAAATAGGCCTGGACTTCAGTTTATAGAAGATAATCGCAATATATATTGCAATCATCTTGGTCAGAAAAATTGCAATTAGATTATTTGCCCTAATCATGCAGCACTGGCATGCCAATGTAAAGCTTCAGTTAGAATGGCGTGAAGCTCACCACCACTAGACTCTGGAGCAGTGGAAATGTGTTCTTGATAGTGATCAATCATGCTGCATCACCTGGCAGTCTGAATGATCAATCAAAAAAAGTTTGGCAAATGCATAGTGCTAGCTGTAAAGTTTGGTGGAGGAGGAATAATGGTCTGGGGCCATTTTTCATGGTTTGAAGAGCTTAGTTCTTGTGAAGGGAAATATTAATGATACAGGATGCAGGGACATTCTTAGAGGATTGTGCTGGTCCAACATAACAGCTTCAGTTTAGGAAAGACCCTTTCCTGTTTCAGCATGACAGTCCCCCTGTGCACATAGCCAGTTTCATAAAGAAATGGTTTGTCGAGTTTGCTGTGGAAGAACCTGACTGGCCTGCACTGAGCCCTGACCCTTAACCCCATCTAACACCTTTGTGATAATTGGAACAGACTGTGAGCCAGGCCTCATCACCCAACATCAGTACCCGACCTCACTAATGCTCATGGGGGCTGAATGGAAGTAAATCCTCACAGTTGTGTTCCAAAAGAGTGTAAGCTGTAGATGAGTCTTTTTTTAGAAGTCTTTTTTGCCAGCTGTTAAGTCTCCAAAATAGCTGTGCAAAGTATGTGAGAAAACAATAAATTGCTTAAAATACAACACCTGTTGAAATTTTAAATGAAGATATTTTAATTAGACACTCATTTATGAAGATATAGACATCTGACTTTCTTTTCATTTCAATCAGTCTCATGTGCAGCTTTTCTGTGGGTATATTTTAAATTTGACAGAGTAGCGTGTGTTTTCTATCCATTTGCAAAGCCAGGCTCCTAAGAAAAGCTTAATGTCATGGTTGGTGTCATCAGTGGATTAAATATTCTTTTAAAATAGCTTTAACTAGGCTGTATCAAAGCAATGGGATTTGGAGGGGGTGTCCATTAAGCATCTAATATGTCTTTATCCTGTCCCCATTCTGTCTTTTCTTACATTTTTCTTCATGTTTGTATTGTCTATGATGGTTAACTCTTTAAATATTGTAATAAGTGTTTTAGATTAACACTAATTCTGGCAACAGTTTAACATATGGAAATCAGTTGGCTATGGAATAACTTTGGCAATTGATTGTATGAAAAGTAGGGAAACAAATTTATATATAAATCTTATTAACATTGAAACAGTACATGGTGCTTTAATTGAAATTTATCACAGTTACATTTGTGAGCTATGCATACAATGTATTAATACCTGGTGATGTTGTGTTAGAGACTATCAAACTTTTGTTTCTTCAGTTGACGGAAAAAACATCAAGAAATGTGAGCGCTTACAGCTACGGAAATGGATCAACCTTGTACAATATAACCTGTCTAATACTACTTTCATCTCAGGTCAGCAGAGATTCATATTATATAATTTTACAAGTGAGTTTTGTTGCTTTGCCAAGTAACGAGCTGAGTTGCTCCACCTAAACTGTACAAAATGTAGGCTTCACTGAAAACTCACAAGGACATGAATTAGTAGGGCTAAAGACTAAACACAGAATAACACACTTTTTTTAGCAAACCCTGCAGTTTCTATAGAAACTGATACATCACCTTCTTTCTTTCTTTTTTGTTTTTCAAGATGAATGACATAAAGCATATTGCATGACACGTATGCATATTGTTTGTCTTTCAGAGGACATCACTGTCTACTACTACACTATGCCACAACAGCATTTTATAGGTTACCCTGTTGTACTGAAATTCACCCGTAGCACCAATCAGTTCCTGAAATGCGCATGTGAGAATCAGAAAGTGGTTTTGAAAACTGAGGTAAGTTGTAATTTGTTGAAGTGTATGTTCAAATATATGCATAGCAATAACTTATAAGGAGTGGCTGAAGTTCATTCTTCATGATATTAATATTAAATTCAAGAGCAACCTCCTCAATCTAATCATCAAGACTGACCAGTGGTGTGGTTTTATGCTACATGTTAGTCAGGACTGAGCTTGAAATCAACTTGAAATCAAAATTAACTTTTTTTTTTTACATTGACAGTTCTTGTCCCTAGCCATATAAAGCATTATTATAGTTATATTATTTGGCTACATCACTGTGCACCAGCAGACCAGGAAAATTAACATTGACCAATAATGTTATGGTTCATCTCAAGCTCTCATCACACCAAACTATTATTAAGTAAAAAGTCTGGTGCTTGGAGGGTAGGAGTTCAACGCGTTTGATAATTTTCCTGCTCAAAAACTCCTACTAAACCTAACAATAAGAAGATGAGTTGAATCAAGTGTATTTGAGCAGAAACTGTGCTGGATTCTGGACCTCCAGGACTGGAGACTCCTTGTCCAGACCCAATTATTACAACACTGTTTAATTCCAGAAAGGTACAAACACAAGAGAGTGCTACTGGTAGAGAAATAAAAATATCACAGGTGCTCTATGGAGTGGGATTTAATAACTTAAGAATGAGTGAATATCCATGGCACTCTTCATCATCTCTTCATCATTTATTTGTTCTCACAGTTTAATTCCGTTTTATTTCCTTATATACATTTCGTTATTCAGTCTTTAAAGCCCTCAGTATGAGAGGGCTGTTAGTCTCTTTTTTTGATCTGTGATCTAACTAACCTTACATTGGATATTTTAGTACTGTGAAGAATCAAAGCTGCAGAAAATCTGTAAGGATAACAAGCAAACGTGGCCTTTTGTCTTCTACTTGACGACTGCGAAGGACAACACCCAACACTTCGAGTCAGCTGCACACAGAGGTTGGTTTATCCAGACTACATATCCTGTGGTCACGGAAAATAGACCAGAACAAATCAGTGGAAGCTTCTATTTCGTAATTTCCTCCAAGTCCACATCACTGTGAGGTCATCTTTTTCCAAGAGATGCAGTAGTAATTCACCATTTCAATCCACATGGGGTTCAGAGTTGACTGATAATATTACAGTTGTTAGTATAAATTAGCAGCATCAAAAAGGTTGAAGTTGCCCTTTGACACTGACTTGTCAAATACTTTATATTCTTCACAGAGTAATATTAACCTCACCAATATTAATGATCCTCACTTGCTTTCATTCATTATTAGATACAGTGCTCATTTTGGTTTAAATTTTTTTTTTTTTAAAGCTACAGTCTGCAAGATTAGTTTTTGTTCAAATTAAAATAGGTTGCTTTATAGAGTCAGGACTAAACATGCTAAAATATGGTAAAGCTTGAAATGATAATTTAATTCTGAGGTGTCAGATTTTGCAGGAGGTTTTTGGACTATGTCATAGACACTAAAATTTCACTGTGAAATGCAAATTTGTTAAATAAACAATGAATATCTCCTAAATGTAAGATGCTAAGTCTGTTATTCGGTAATACTAACAAGTAGTAAGCACCAAAACATATAGGTTACCTTATATTTAGGTTCACAGGAGGATGAGGCAGAAGTTGGCTTTCTATTCACCAGCTTCCTGTTTGAAATTTCCCATTCCACCTTAAATGGTGGCAGTATTCTGAACTCAATCTGCATCCGCGACAGGCAACACGAAATCGCAGAAAGTATGCGAGCTTCTAAGCTTGCGAAAGTGCTTTTGGCTTTGCACAACCCTCGAGAATTTCGTTTCGCAAGTATGCTGAGGTGTTTGAAGACATATTCACAAGTTTTGACTAAGTTTTCTTTCAGATCATCTGTTCAGAGAGGATTTGAACTGATGTTAGAAAATGCTCTTTCACACATTGTATGCAATTACACATCTCCACCAGAGAGAACTTCAAATCCCCAAAACTTATGTTGTGTAGCTTTAATGTCAAGTCTTTTGATAAATTAAGCAATTTTTATATCAGAGATCAAAAGGCAGCTTCTACCCAGAGCTAGTTAAGAGCAGAGGTGCAAATCTTAACTGCCATTGCAGTAACAAGTAGTTATGTATCATACCACAATTTATAATTTTTTTATTATGAATTTATTAGAATGCTTCTTTTGTCCTATAGTAGAGCCTTTATGTGTGCTCTTCTTTGCTATAAGGTGTAAAACACTTTGTATTTTAAAAAACAAGTTCATTCTGGACAATACTTTTGTGCCAATGTGGAGGAATGTTCATTTGTTTTGATACTACTAAAATGTAAAAAAAATGTTTTATTTCAATATCTGTAATGTTGATAAATAGTATATTTACATATAATGTTTCTACACAAATCATTTCTTGGTAACACTGTTTTTTGTGGTGGGAGGGTTTGTAGTCTGTTTTTGATCAGTTCTGTAAAATCCTGTTTGCTCACTTTCGCTCTCAAACGCTTTGTTTGGTATTCCCTCAGATGGTTCATCATATGGGTTTTCAGGCTCCTCAAGTTACTTGGCTTCCCTGTAGATTAAAACAGTTGATTATAAATTAGGTGATTTTATTGTTGCATCTCACAGAAGCTGGTTTAGGCTCCATCTGATGACATGTAAAAACTGATATGCAAATTGTATGTTTCTTGAAAGCTTCTTTGTGATAACATTGTAAAACTTGAATTGTATTGAACTAAATTGTGATGTTAGTAGTGCTATGTATATCCTTGTCATTTTTGGATCTTCTAATTGTTTTTGCTGTACATTTTTAAAATCAAAGTTTCGAACTCTAAAAATGTGTCTGTGTTTATGTACATGCTTGCTAATTAGTTTGCCTTTAAGTGTTTACATTATAAAAAATAAGTTATAAGTTGGAATCTTACTAATGTATTTATAATAAGGAATAGCTTAAAATATAATCACTTTACTTGAAGCACTAAGTGATGGGACTTCAATAATCCCTGTGACCCAGAAGGATGAGCGATGTAGAAAATGTATGTGTGTGTATTTTATTAATATTTTTATAATTCTTCATAAGTATTATAGGTGCTTTATAATTATGCACAGGTCTGTGTGTACATCTGTCTTTACTTTTAGTAAAAGGCATTATGATGAATACTGACATTTGTGTTTCAACATGTTAATAATTTGTTATACATTATTAGAGCTTTATGAGGCATTATTAAAGTTTATAAATATGCCTACAAAGCACAGTTACCAAGACTTATAAGCATATAATTATAACTTTATAGGTCCCAGTTTGGAATCTCTGTTTTAGTAAAACTCTCTAGTAACACTGTACTTGAACCCTAATATATAACATTGACATAACTATGCCATAAACATGTCATGGCAGATGTCATATTCCGTAATTAGTTGTTAAGCCAGATTTTGTTCAAAAATATAACAGCATCATGTTACTATTACTGGTTATAGTTTTTGATGTGATGACAGCTTTTATACAACAGTTCTGACTCACATAGTACATAGTACACTTCCTGTTTCTCCTGTTATATCAACAACATAACTGCAAAAGTGCGCTGGTAAGCAAGTTCCCAGTGAATGAGAATGAATGGACCTAAACAGCTAAAAACTAAAAGTTAATATAGTTTCCTTCGTCTAAGACCTTCCTTTGATTTTGAGGGGTGTATTTCATTCAAAAAGCAAAGAGAACTAGTATATTTCCTTGTTTATTTCCTTTTTTCTGGAGCAAACAGGCTTTGGGCTGTAGGACACTTGCATCATGACTAGTGAGTGCTGATTGGTTGGTGAGCTGCTAAGCTTTTAAGATTTTATCACTATTCACCACACTGTGCAATACTACAATTACTGAGAACAATGTGCAATATTTTTGTATACAATATATAACATTTTTTTCTATATGTATATTTTATGTTTGTCTATGCTGTCTAGTATGTCTGTATGCATTTGCCTTTATGTTACATTTATGTTATATTTGTACATCGGAGCTGGAGAAATGCAATCTCGTTCAGCTGTGCTCTCCTTATTGTATAGTCTGAATGACAATAAGGTTCACTTTGACTTTGAGATATAAATACATAGATGCCGCCTTGAGTTCAGCCAGGCACATCAACAGTGCCGCCATTTTGGGGTGGTCAACATCAGTGCTGGACTGCATTCCGTACCAGTGCAGCAGTTTAAAAAAGATACTGTTCAAAATTACACTATTTCAAGAATACTACACTCATAAAGTGGAATATTATTAAATAACAGAGAGAAAGCAGCTATGCACGCTCATGTTTGTGTGATGTTTATGTGTAGATGGCATGTGGTTGATGAAGCACAGAGAACCTGCTGGTGTGATTGTTCTTCCACTGATTTTATATTAAGCTTGTTTCATTTAATAACATATACAGGGAATCTTAACTTGATGCAGTAGTTATATTTATTTACTAACAATGATTGTTAATTCTGAGAAAGTGCTGTAGGTAAGTTACAACATTCCTTAATCTGTGTAGATATTTGCAATAGATTAACACCTTCTTACACAAAGTTGAAGTCAGCTTCTTATTCATCATCTTGTTCGAATTTTCACATTCCACCTTAAATGATGCAGCCTCAAGCACGAGAATGTAACTGATGCACTGATAAGTTGAAACAGTAACATTCAAACAAGATGGCGAATAGGTCAACTTATATAACGCACCAACTTCAGCCTCGTCTTTTGTGTTTTGGGGGGTTTATTTCACTTTTATGTACATTAAGATTATAGTTGATCCACACATTTAAGGATTTGCTTATATGAGTGAGACTGTTTTCTACCGGAGCTCGATGCAGGTCAATGCAACATTAGTCTTTAAGTGGTGGTCTACAAAGTACCAATCGCAGACGTCTTTCCAAGTTTTATTTCCCAGGTATTAAACTATATAAAGGCAAAATCATATCAAATCTCTTGTAGTGAAGAAAGTGGCTTCTTTAGGCCTACTACAAATCCCTGTTTAAGTGAAACCACTGTCTTTACTACAAGTGATAGAATGTGTTTTTGCCTTGTTTTAGCTAAATACATGCTGGTTACACTGCGCACAGAAAGCCCCCCTTCATTGTGCGCAAACGCAGTACCCAGAACAGCCTGAAAAAAGCACATTTTTTGTGCATTATTGAGCTGAACACTACAAACTACTTATGAGTTTTTTGTCAGATTTTACCAGTGACTTTAAATATGTTTTTTAAACTGTAATTTGGCCTTCAGTTTTGAGATTATAGGTCTATCCCTATTCAAAAAGTAAGAACCTGGTCTTGAATGGCTGGAAATAACTGCCTGGCAGTGCTGCAAACATGGTCATGGAGTTAACAGACTTTCCTAACTAGGACTTTGGACTTTGTCTCTAGTTAGCCATCATGACATCAAACATTGAGGCATTATGGCATCTGCCATGACCTTTACAGGTAATGGTAACACGGCACTGTTATATTACTGGACATTATCTTTCACCACAACTCATGACAGCCTATGACATTTGCCACGATGAGTTTATTCATGATTATGTCTGTGTTATGTAGCAGGATCCAAGTAAAGTGTTACCAAATCTCCAATGTGCTAGTGCTGAAAACATTAGTGCGTAATAAAACTTCGGGCCTGTTGGTGGGCCATTTAACGGGTTAAGGCTCATAATGAAGCCATGCTGTGCTGGTTTTGGCCACAGCCTCAACTCAATGACAAACAAATGAGATCAGATTGTCAATAGAAAGTAGTATGTTTGTCTACAGCGTTTCGCTTCTGTTCTCAGTGCTGACTTAGACTTTCACACTTATCGGTGTTTCCCTACCACGCTTACCTCTTTCTATTCACTGCCCCCATGACAACAAGGTAAATTCCCAGGCAAACCACCAAGGCCATCATCACTCCAAACACAACCAGCCAAACGGTGACTGGCTGCTCAGCAGGGGGGCCAAGGTGGCCAGCAGACCTTCAAACTCAAAAGTGTCGTCACTCAGCTGGAAAACTCGCTTTTTGAAGTGACTACTGCAACTGCAAAACCTCCCACTGAATTTTCCCTCTGAATTAAGGGATAACCCGAATTTCAAAGTTTATCCGCTATGACTGCACTAGATCAGTATTATTTTATGTTCACACCAACAGGACAGTCCTTGCCAGGAGAATGCATTATAATTGAAACAATTATTTTTGCAACAGTTTGCTGCTATCTGCAACCATCAGCCATGCACAGATAAATAGGCCATGGAGGCTTTGAAGAAGTATGTTTCATTTTCATTCCAAGTGTACTAAGAAAAAATATTTGCAATCCAGCAATATAGGAGGTGAATATTTACTGTGTGTGCATAAAAATATGAAAAACAAACACTGCTTTTTCCCCCATGGCGTTTTTAGACTCACTTTAATGGAATCATTGGAGTCTGTAAATAAACAATAAACCTACACCGATCAGGCATAACATTATGACCACCTTGTTTACTACGCTCATTGTCCATTTTATCAGCTCCACTTACTATATACGTGCACTTTGTAGTTCTACAATTACAGACTGTAGTCCATCTGTTTCTCTGCCTACTTTGTTAGCCCCCTTTTTCTCTGTTCTTCAGTGGTCAGGACCCCCATGTACCCTCACAGACCAGGCACTATTTGGGTGTGGATCATTCACAGCACTTCAGTAACACTGACGTGTTGGTGGTGTGTTAGTGTGTGTTGTGCTGGTCTGAGTGGATCAGACACAGCAGTGCTGCTGGAGTTTTCAAACCCCCTAGTGTCACTGCTGGACTGAGAATAGTCCACCAACCAAAAATATCCAGCCAACAGCGTCCTGTGGGCAGCATCTTGTGACCTCTGATGAAGTCATTTTGGCCATAGAGTAATGGAGCTTAGACCCAGAGTTCCTAATATGGGCATAAAAGCATGGCGCTGACTACAAAATGACGACACGACTACAGTGGTCTATTTGTGCATATTCTCTGAAAGCTTATGCATAGAGAAGGGTCTAACTGCAGAGCTGCAGAGCTACACCCGCAGTTTCATGCCAGCGGTTTCAGGCCAATGGAACGCATGCGCAGTAGGACAGCGGGATTGTGCCATGTAAACAAAGTCCTTATAGGAAAGTCAAGTGTTACTAACCTCCCTTTCATATTTCTACCAGTGGCTGGTCTCCTCATTTATACCATGTCTGATGAACAGCGACTGTTTGTGCTGCTTGTATGTGTCG